GGTATCAGACAGAATTTTAAAACCATGGCACACTGCTTGACAAAGAACGTCTATCTAAAACAATTCCAAACTAACAGCAAAAGCAATTTAATTTTAATGGAAAGCTCAGAGTTGAAAAGCTTAAGTAGCTTGCAGAGGACTGACAGAGTAGGAGGACCATTTAGTGCTGTAATTTCAAAAGCATCACAGAATAAAACATTTTCTAATGTTAATACAAACGGATGATACCAGCAAGCTAGCCAGACTTGGAGGGGAAAAAAAGAAGGGAGGAGAAAAAGAAAAAAAAAAAGGACAGTTTTTAAGTTGTATCTACAATTACAAGGCAAGAGGTAGCACCGTCAACCAAGAGAGGTGCTTGCCACAAGGATGTCAGAAGAAATTATTTTGTACTTGCACATGCTGAACTCATCAGCATTGATTATTCCAAAAACCTCCAGCTGGGGCATCACCAGCTCCAGCACTAGGGCAAAAGAAAGGAGGTTCAGCCTCTGTCATGAGTTTGTTCACAGAAGGATATGGTAAAGAGGGGGTAAAAACACCACATTAGCCTGTTTTACACAAAAGTTCTCAGCACTGTACTGAAACAGCAACTATTTCCTTGGAAAAAAAACTCCACTCAGAGGTAGCATCTCTGGGCAGAGTTGAACACTATCAGCCTACGACAGTATCACTGTAGTGGAGGAGGGAAAAGAGCGCCAGTTCACATCTAAAATGGCCTAAATTGTCTCTCCAGTACTCCTGGGCAACTTTTCCCCAACTTTCACAGAACTACTGGTTCTGCTGTTTCTGGGCCTTCATCCATGTATGGAATACAAGCTTGTCCACCCTTAGCATTTACTTCACCCAGTCTCCAGGAGAAAAAAAAAAAAGAGGAAAACATGCAATGGTTATGAGAATTGTAATGCTAACCAATTCAAAATCTTTCCAGCTACATTTAACACTTCCAACACGTTAAGGAAGGGCAAATAAGATACTCAGCTTACCTTTCTGAGCAGGGTGAGTGGCAGACACACCCATAATGTAAAAATTCACATATTGGAGGAAAGTTGTGAAACATTACTGCTTTCTGACATCTACTCCCTGCGTGTTGATCTTGAGGAAGGCGAGATACATCACACAATCAACCCTCACACGTAGCAGAGGCATCACATCAGGAGATGACACAGCAGGAACATTAGATAGACCTGGTTCAAGAAACTCTGATGATATTTATAGAAAAAAACCAGCAATCTGCAACCAATCTTACAGCAAGTCACACAAAAACCACAGGACATTCTAGAAACTTGGAGGGTGCCCTTCCACCACCACTTTCACATCTGTTGCAACTTTAGGTAAACGAAAGGAGGTTAGGAAGTCTCCAGAAAGTCAATATATTCCTGATCTACACTGAACATTTACACATGAGCTTAATTACCTCCCTTTTAAACAAGATGTGAGCAAGGTAATACCCTAGAATGAAGTTCTGCCACCTGGGCAGTCAGCTGAGAATTCAGACAAAGAAAAGCAACTTTCTAATTCATTTGATGCTTTGCCTCCCTACCTTAGGCAACTGCTAAATCTTATCTTACTAAAGCTCCACCCACTGAATGGATCAAAATACGATCATCTATGTGTGACATAAAGGCAATTCACAAGCAGCACTCTGCTCTGAGCTGTCTATGTGGAGAATTAAATCTAGCTTCTTAGAAATTAAAGTCAAAAAGTGCTTATTCTACTGGCAGCTTTTATAGAAAAAATGTTTTCCTTGAAAATGCTGAACAGATATACCATAGTCAAACAAACATTAAAATATATCTAGAAAAGTTAAGTGATATGAATAAGAATGTAAAACAATTGTTTTAAATGTTTAAATGTAAATGTTTTAAATTTTCAGTCTGAAGATTTTAATCTCCAATGCTAACACTCATAATAAGTGGTTTTATTTATTTTGAAATTGTCAAATAAATAGTGTTAATCAAATTCTATTCCTTTTTTTTTCCTAAAGAGAATATTTTCCTCCAATATAGAATATCAAAGCAATGGCATGGTAGACTACAAAACACTCATTCTGGCCTACTTAGCTGTACCTGCTAAAAGGCTGTGTGGTATGCTTTAATGGTGTTAATTTTCACTTACCACCTAGAAAAGATGACTGAGAAATGGAATTTTGAGGAATAAGTAAAACAGCTATGAAGAGTCTCTTCAAGCTGCAAAAGAAGAGTCTATCTGCTTTGTGCTGCCATGTGTTTCACTGAAGGCAAACAACTGTACAGTGCATTAATCAAAGTGTACAGAACCTCTCAAATTGCAGAGCAACTGTAAATACAGTTCCTACAAAGAGCCATTAACTTTGCAGTCTCCAAAGAGAAGTATACGGAAAATACTACCCCCCTCCATAAAATCACCACCACTAGTAGCTTGCAATAGAAGCAGAAAAAGCTCTCCCATGTTTTCAACCAAACCTATAAATATCACTAAATCGTTACCATTTGATAAGCAGCTTACTATAGCTAAAAATCAGTAAAGTTGTTGTTGGATTTTGTTTTGTTTTATTGTCATCCTTCCCTCCACCTTGTCTCTTCTCTCTCACTCCCGACTTTCTTACCTGCAAGCTACATGTCTTTTCGATATAGTGATGTATCTTCTGGCCACTACTTCTGAAGTTTGATGCTTATACATAACTAAAAAAATGCAACAGTAAAACAAAGTGCAGAAGGAACTTTCCACAATGAAGCAGCATCTTATAACGACACAGACTAAACAGCTTAAGTTGCACAAATTCTCTGTTAAAACTGTGATTACAAAGATTCTAGGTAAGCTCCAGTTTTCAAAATGCTCTTAAGATAATCAATGTCTTTCTTGAGATAACACAAGATATTGTTATCCTATGTGTACAATCAATGTGATCTTCCTTGTGTGCAGATAATTCTTCTCTGCCTTGATTCAAGTCAGCCTAAGCTTTGCAAACTGTTAAAATAATGTGCGAAACAATAATTGACAATAACAATATTAGCTTCATACAAAAGGCTGACTACAGCAGAATGTTTTTTTTTTCTTTCTCTCAATGAATGCCCTGCAGAAAACCCAATTTATGGGAATTCTGCTTTTGAGTCTAACCCAAAAAGAGAAGTATTGGGAGCATTTGCCCATTGTAAGAAAGCTTTCATTGAGATAGGCAAAATTTCACATTATTTTCATAGCGTCTTATGCTAACAAACAGACACTTGTGTACCATGGATGGCTCAAACTCACAGTGCACTCATCTGGTATTTATTTTTCATGATACAGGAAGGGTTAGTTTGATCTTTTCACACAGAGGTGTGTACTCCATCTCTAAGGATGGAAAAGACAATTCATTCTAATATATAGCTGAGCTCAAAGACAAATTTAACACCCGAACTTCACAGAGAACCCCTATGGAGTATAAAAATGATTAAAAACATGGAATAAATTAGAGAGGAAAGAACAAGTTAAAATGAAACACCTTTTTCCCCCCCAACTCTATAATTTTTAAATCTCTAGTTACTAGATGATATAAAACCAGATGCCATTTCAGATCAACTTGGCATTTTTACTGACCTTTTTTTTTTTCCTGAAACATTCTGGTTCAGTAAAAATGGCATAATAGAATTTTTTTTTTGTGCTATTCTAGATACCATTGCCTCAGTGACTTTAAATTGCTTTTGAACAAACTAGAAAGCTCATGTTAATTGAACATGAGGAATCACATAGCAAATTATCTTAGCACTAATGGCATGGAAGAAAAAGCTTGATTAGTAAACCCTGCTGGATACTTGTAATATGAGAAGTTGAGAGATGCCAGAAGTAAATCAGAGAGGTGAAGATCAATAGTTCTTTAATCAGTGCTGGATTACAGCAGGGTTTATTCTGCTGAAACCAGCAGGGACAGATAAAACCCCCACGGAGATTAATTACCGTGAAGTGTGGACACAAAGAGAGGAGTGTGGTTATCTCTGTGACAACTCTAAGTGGCAAGAAGAAACCAGAGGGTGTACAGAGCTATTGCTTGGATCTCTGCTGGTGACCAGCAACTCCCCAGCAACTCCTCATCAAATTCCTAGCACCTCCCCTTAGTTCCTTCCAAAAAACTGCTTTGAGGACCATGTATTTCTGCAAACCCAAAACTTGCAAAGTGAAAAACAGGGAAGATTTCAGGACAGTTTGATAACTTTGTTTATAAACTGATGGATTGATATAGCCTTCTGTATCATGGAGGTTAAAGTGCCAATGTGCACGGCAAAGGAACAACAGCTTTACTTGGAGAGATGCTGATTCACAGCACCCCCTTAAGTCAATAGGCAGTCAGCTCTGGGGCTCTGAGTATTGGGACTACACACGTAATCCCTTACTACATACATACTTACCATTCCCACTACAGCCTTTGATGCTAAAGGTTAGCATTATGACAGACCACCCACTAATGCGCAACGCAGTAATATTATAAACTGAGGCACTAAGCAAGACAGAAATCATGGGGTACTTCCTGGAAGCAAAAAGGGAATTAAAAACAAGTCATTAATTGAAAGTACTGTGATTTTGAACTACACGGAATTTATTAAAACAAAAGACAAAGCTAACTGAATCGCTTGTCAATATTTAAGTCTCTGCCAGCCAGAAGGAAAGATATCCAATTGGTCCCCCTGTCCTTATTTTAAGCTTACTTATGTTAACAACAAAAGACAGCAATGGAGAGAGTCCATCATGTATTACATTTGCTGGTCATAATTTGATAGACATATTTGTTCAGTTATCAGGAACTGTTTCAACAGGCCTCTGAATTAAACCTTGTTTAGATTGTAGTGACTTCTCAGTAATATTTTTTGTACAAAACATTCCAAAAAATACTCTGAATTCTGCTGCAATGCCATCCCCGTTGTGTGTGTGCAATGCCATCCCCCCCATTTTCAGTGACTGCAAATTCAGCAACTTTAAAAAGATCTTCTGTGTTTTATCTCTGGATTTTATCAGATGCTAACAATCATGTTTATATAGTAAGTCAGAAAAGGTTCTTTATTGGAAAAAAAAATGAAGTTTAATACACATATGATAAAAATTACAAAAATTATTTTAAAATTATTAAAAAATCACCTGTCCAGAATACCCAAATTAATTGAAGGCAGTTTCAGTGAAGCAAATAAAATCTTTTGCAGATCATCTCTGATTTAAAGCAGGTCATAAAAATAATCCAGGCCTTGTCCCAACTCCCAGATGGATATTCCAGTGCCCAATTCTTTTGCAAGCTCTAAACGCAATTGGATGGACTAGGATAGAGACAAAGAAAGCAACCACTTTTACTCAGAGGCATTAGACATTCCCTGCTGCCATTTCTTCACACCGTTAACAGTTTTTTAAAAAATAACTATCCTTGAATCAGATGCTGAAAAGTAACATCTCTATTTCAAATATTCTCTGGTTATCGAGCAGTCATTCAGTGAGAGGCAGTTAATTGCACCAGTTAATTCAGTGACCTAGTACATTATAGCTACCTAAACAGATGAAATACCACAGAAATAAATCAGATTTATGAACTATGCAAAGGACTACTCTAAGCTATCATTTTGAAAGGTACAGAAATTCTAACTCTCCACAGAAGTTTTCCAAGGATAAATAAAACTTTATCACTGAAGACAATTAGAACAACTTGTCAAATACCGTCAAGGTCTCTTACCTACCTTGCCTTCTCTCAGGACAGTCACAATTTTTCAAATCAAATATTCATTTTAAAGAGATTCGGGGAGATTAACATTGAAAAACATCCTTATCTGTGCTACAGGCATTAATTTAGATGTTTACAACAGAAATAGTGTTACAATTTATATTCTGCACTTCTCTCAGTTCAGATAATCCAAACATTTTTGAACCTTTTATTTTCATGTTTTCATACTTCGAAGTGCAGTACTGTGATGTCTGAACTGCTGTCACCACAAGGATGCTCTGGAAGCTCATTTCCATAGGAAATGGAACCAAGTATTAAGACATCATTAACAACTGTGCTGGGCCTGGAGTTCTTAACTGCTTTTAATTAATCCTGGGAAGTCTCTTCTGAGCAAACAACCTACCATTGATGACAGCATTTAAAAGGGGAAGAAACACATTTGTGAAGGGAAAATAAAACAATATTCAGTCTTCAAGTGACCAACCCTATGCAAACAATTTGCTCTGCCCCAGCATACAGATCTGAAAACATTCTCTCTCAAACTTGTTGAAATTGGAAGGAAATTCTGCTTCACACCACAGTTGAGTATATATTATTATTAGAAGATTTATTAAAAAACACTAAGGACCAAATGTTCCTTAATTAATTAATAAACTTAATTAACTCAGTTAGTACTAACAATAGACTGATGAAACAATTCAACATGACCAGAGAGAACGTGGTCTGGCATATTCAGAACAATTTATCTTTTTTCTCTGAGGGTCATATTGATGCTTTCCAACCCTCAGGACCCGTACTAGCAGGAATATAGTTAGACATAGTAATTAATAGCCCATATGTGTTAGTACTTCCAGTAATATTAGATTAGTGAAGGAAGTAGCTTCATCCTAATGGAATTTAGGGGAATATTTGCATTTAGAAAAAGGGAAATTTAATAATTTCACACTGGTTTAGCCATATAAAATGTCTCTGTTCTCTCTAAACATGATATACTTTTATTACAGGAATAGTTTCCCTCCGATATTAAAAGCCAGCAGAGGTTTAAGATACTGCCTTTAGGTTAATATAAGAAAATTTAAGATAGCTTCCTAGGAAGGCTGAAACTAACCATTGTATCATATATCCTGGTATATTGCAGATCAATGTGAGGACCAAAATCATATGCCCCACCAGAGGATTACAACAAGGCCAAACATTTCAGGTTTCAAAACTCTGAAGTATGTTCCCTGAAAAAAACAGGATGATTCAGGGCTACAGCATGAAAAAGGACCCTGCTACAGAGGAGTGCAAAAACTCCCTCAGGCTTCCAGTCAACATGTTCACAGGGCAATTTTCCTCCATGTCTCTTCTCTGAGAATCAAATGTCTGTGCACACCTAAACCATGCACTCAAATGGCTCCTCTCAGAACACTGGTTCATCCTTAGGTGTCTTCCCTCTAGATATGGCTCATCTTCAGTGATCCCCCAAACCCAATTATGCATTAGATAGAAAAACTAATCTTGTCATACATGTAAGTAGCTGAAGTCTGGAATCATAACAAGCATGTCAGTGTGAACTCCTTTTACAAAAGCCTAAGCCCCTCTTCAGCATTTTGCAAACTGTTTCAATAACCCTACATGTCAAGGAAACAACTTTTTCCTACCCTCTGAGCAGAAAATGGGGCACCTACCTTCAACGTTGGATAAAAGATGGCATGTTTTCCTCCTTTATTTCTGCAAAGCACATAAACAATACAGTCACAACAGGTTAGATAGATTCTCATAGGATTTGTAGCTGATATTAGAATTCAAAGGCAGTTTCATTCCTTCTCATAAAAGGAAACAAAGGTAGACAGTACTGGAGAAAACTACTGATTTTATTCTGAAGGAGATACTACCATTAAAAATAAGATACATTGCTATGTTCACCACAAGGGACTTACTACGCCCAAAGGCAGAAAATACTGGCTATTTGGTAACTGGTATATTTGAGATTTCTTACCTAGTGATCGTTCTGCACTAGACTCTGGCTCTGGTATCAGACACTTTTACCATCAATGTCTACTTGGTGCATACTTGCACTCCAATCACAAGCTTCTAGTTACAGGGAGTGAAGCCAAAATTGTCTCTGCTTCTCTTCCTTTTCTACTGCAGGTAAAAACTTCCACTCCTGCTCCTGCTCTACTGAAGATACAAACACATCACAGCACACAAATGCAAAGTGGAAGGGAAAAGAAGGTGAGCAGGGGAAGGTCCACCTGCACAAGGTTTCTGAGAAGTATGCAACCTTGGAACTGTCCTGCAGGTATTTGCTCTAGGAATATTTGTCAGAAAGGTGTCCAGGATACTTTCTCCTGATTTCAAAGAGCTTTGATGAAGCTAGCAGGACTAGTGATAGAAAGTTCAACAGAAGACTACACACAGTCAGAGATCTGTTTTGAGGAGTCTTTGTGCAAAAACTGCATCAGTAACAGAAAAGAAAAACAACTCTGGTTATCTAAGGAATTCCTTGAAAGGCTTCAGGATAAGGCTTTTCAAAATATCTAAGTGAAACACGCTTCTTAGCTTTCTCATAGCTAACACAAAGTACAAAAAGGTAACCATGGATTAGCACGAAATCCAGGCATAGCATTCCATCCAAGGAAGAACTGGTCATAGTAAAATGCATGTTTAATAGGAGGAATACAATTATTAATTGGCATTAAGGAGGACAACTTTCAAGAGAAGTGACAAGGCTGATAGCTAAAACAGATGTTGCTACAGGGTACAAACTCAAAAAGTAGCTCTTGTGAGAGAGATTGTTTGATATTAGATGCAAGTAAACACACTGAGATAGCCTGTTGTCATGTAACATTATTTATAAAACTCTCGGATATCAGAGGACAGTTGTACCTACTGAATGCACATCTGAAAAGGATAAAAATGTTTTGATGTCAGCCGCAAACTGACAAAAATTTTCCCAAATTCCAGTAATTAACATTTTTATGTTAAACTAAATGCTACTGGTACACAAGGCAAAGATAAGGCAAGCTACACCAAGCATGAATCCTGTTCTGTATTTTCAACTACTAGTAAGGAGGCGGTCAGGAAAAAGGTAGTCCCACAGGACCCCTTCACCACTTAGGGCAGAAAGAAATGCAGAATGCATGGACAGACCAAGCAGATGCTGCTGGTAAAATCTCTTGACTCAATTTAATGCACACTGTTAAGTGGAAAGTGCACAGGGACAAGCACTCAGGGTCAACAGCTTTCTACACCTTCTTGTAATGGCAGCCTTTGGTTCTTTGACTGCTACATGAAAAGCATTAGTTGCGCTTTCCTTAAGGATTCCTTCTTTGATTACTTAGCAACTGCAAACATGCAAGCCTTTCAGGTGAGATTCTTCACTTGTGAAACATGTTTCAGGCCTGGCTGCAATTAACACTCAGTGCAACACAAAAGTGGTGAATGGAGACAAGACCACTCATGTCGCCCTCTTCTGCAGGCGGCTGCCCCACTGCAGACATGCTGAGCCACAGGGCTGCCTGCCAGGCACAACCCAGCAAAGGGCAGTTAGAGTGATTTTCAGATCCAGTGTACTTTACGCACCAAAATCTCTTCCAAAAAGCCCACAAATAAGAACTTCCGAACATTGTCTTTCAAAGGTAAACAGTGCAGTACTGCCAGGTTTTCACTTTCCTGCATGTTCAGGTTGCAAGGAAACATTTAGGAAATGTGTTTGAGGAGTGAATCCCAGATTCTGGTCATTCAAACACTGCACTTTGATTTACTTTAGTGAGCGCAAGCTTTCATCCAGTGGCTACTGTGCCTCTAATTAGACTTTTCAAGGAAGATCGGTAAAACAACACTTTTGATTTATTCCTTTTTAGTTAAGACAAAGACTTTATAGATTTTTGACAAACAAAATTTAAAAACAGGATACCAAAGAACTCAAAATGAAAGAGCAGTTCTTCTATGCAAGTACAGGAAAAAAAAATTACTGCTAGCACACATGTAAACATTTTTTTTCCTGATAAGGAATATACACAGCTGAGCAGTCTAAAAGCCCAGAGAAAAGTACAGATTGAAAGAACTTTGGAAAATTAAATTTAAGATTTAAAGGTAGTACAAGTTTTAGGCTTATTTATTTATTTTTAAAAATATGTTACCAAAACGAGAGGGCACATAGAGATAGTGAATGTTAGAGAGGCTTGATAAGCATTTGTTGCTTATTTAAAATACGTTGTAGATGGAATTTGCCTATCATCAGGAATCCTCCTGTCATTTCATTATGAGAAAGATGGGTCAAAGAAAACTACTACCCTCTGTCTTCAGGTTCCTTCTAAAGAAAGCATTTCTAGTCTTTTTAACTACTCCATCTGAAAGTCCCTTGATATTACTATTATTACGGTTCTCTATAGTCCATTTGACCTCGTGCAAGTTTGTTCCCTGGTCAGCCTGCTCACCAGGACTTCTAAAACAAGGCTCTCATTCCACAACCTCCTCTAAGATCTAGTATTGGCTAGGTTACTGCCCGCAGTACTAACTTCAGATGGTCTAAGTGACGCTCACTAGTTAAACTTAGATGGATAGCTTGTTAAGATATGACTCTCTAGATTTCTATTCTAAAGCTTGTTTTAGCTTGTCTGCTCTGATTTATTTCTCTCTCTTGATGCACCCTTACACTACAATTCAGTGCTGCCACACAGATCACAAACAGTGGAATTTCCATTTGCTGAATCAAAGTTAACTGGCAATTCATTGTGTACTGGACTACGCCTGTGAATATTTGCAGAAAAGTAGGTAAATAAAAAACTCACTTTTTGTATTCGAAGTAGTGTTCAGCAATTTTCTCATCCCAGATAATTTTTGGTTTGTGCTCCTTCAAGGTTTCAATGTACCTACAAATTAAAAATATAGATATGCAATTAATTTCTTTGCTATAAGCAGTTACAGAATTAAATAACAGATATTTCTGAAAAAGCAATTTTACCATGTTTAGACATTGAACATTTTATTGAAAATCTCCCCTAGCTAACAATTAAATATATCAAGTACAAATAATTTTCTCAGCCACTGTTATATTTTGCTATGTTTGCATTTTTAGACTTTCTGAAGCAGTGAATGAATCAACATTCATCCATTAGCAAGATCTATAACGACACATGATTACAGTGCTTCAATATTTTGGCAACTTGATTCTTATATGCCAAAACACAGGAATTGATGAAATCATTTCTAGGTATACCTAATTAGGTCCTAATAATATCAGTCAATGCCGTTCTAAGTTATAAGCCACTATTATGTGATGAGAAAGGCTCCTCTATAGGAGGGGCCCAGGAAATCTTCTCAGAAATACGCAGATTGTCGACAACGAAAAGTTAGCGCCAAATAACCTTGCATATGAATTTGCACCACCACCAGCTTCTTGGCATTTATTTCTTACACATACACTTTGAAAGTTTCAGTGGCTATTGCTACTGCCACAACTCCGGCCAATGACAGTCCTGCTATGACTGTCAGTTACCCATTCCAGAATCAGTAATGACAAGAGACTACCCACACATGGAACACAGGACCAAAGTCACAGCCCAAAGACAAGTCTTATCTGCCAAGCCATCCCAGCACATAGTTTTCTTCCTGTACACATGACTTTGGGATAGGAAGTTTCTCTTGCTAAAAATCCCAATCAAATCAAAGAACACTCAGCATACGCACGAATAACATTTTAAATATAAACTGTATCTTGCCACACTTTTTATAGCCTATTATACATAAGGTGAACTGCACAACCAGAAGATAGAATACATCCATAACTAATTTTAAAGTTGTTCAGGCATGCACACTATTAAAACATGCTTGATTTTTATGTTGTCTCTAAAAAGGACAATAAAAATTCAAAGTTATTGTTAAAAGAGTGAGCTCTCATTTATTTCTGCAAATCCGACTTCAGACCTCTCAAGCAGACAACAAGGCTGCTAAAGCTGCCTGCCCAGCAACACACTAGAGCGCTCACAAGGCTTTCTCTTGCCCTAACGTAGGAATAATCCATTCCTTTCCTGCACCCGTGCCATAGTCACAGCTTGTTCTCTTGCAGTAGGACGAACAGGGGTTTTACAAACAACATCCCCCAGATACACATCTCCTGTCTCCTCTGGGCTCTCCTACTGGGCGCATCGTAAGAGGAAGAGTTCCTACATAAAGCACATGTATCATAGCCCGCTTCTCTGGCTCACACTAATGCTACCCAGGCACTCTTCACATATTATTTCCTAACTGAGAGAGTTCCTGACTTAGCAAGTGTTTGAGATATGTAGATATTATTATTACTATTTTTTAAAAAAGGAGAATGAAAAGCGCAGATTTCCTTTACAATGAACCACACACACTTGGGCCATCATTATGCCTGGGACACAGGCATACAAATTCAATTCCAGCTTCCCAAGGAGGGAAAAGGATGGACAGAGATAATCAATCTCATCACGAACAGCCCTCCCTCTTCTTCCCACCTCTCATCTCATTCTTCTCCTTTCTGCTTGTATTTATTGCTTTTTCTCTCTCCTTTCTTCTTATCTAAATTCTCCCTATCTCTCTCTACTGCCCCTGTCTCAGCTCTCAGTTGCTTTTATGGTTCTATCCAGTCTCTAATTTATTTGCTTCCTCATCCATCAGCTTTTACTAGGTTTCTCCTTTTCCAAGCTGCCTCAGCAGCTAGAGAATAATAAACACTGAAAAAGCTCAGTTTGGCCTCCTTGCACCTTATATTCCCTGGTAAGTCATGGTTATTTGCAGAGAAAGTCATGCTCCGCTTCTCCAGGCCTGGTCTAAAGCAAGGTCAGTGCTGATGAAGTACCTGGAGTCAGGTGATGCTAAACCCCTAGGCAAACGTCCAGTGCAGCATAGATGTGACGAACTTGCAGGGATCACTAGGAATAGGAACAAAAGGCACCCGCCACCAGCAACATCATCCTACAAATTTCAAAATACCTTGCTAAAGCACATAGCTGACATCCTAGCTCGGTTAAGCAGGTCTAGGTTTAACTTAATCAACACAATACATTTTTTCCCAAACCTTTCCTTTACAAAGAGCTAACCACTTAAAATACCAGTTCAGTTATGACAAGGGCCTTTGAAAGTTTAAAAGTTACAGCCTTACTAAAAGCATGGCTATATAATGCAAGCACTTCTGGAAAGGTGACACGAAGCCTGCCTGCCTCCTTTTCTCTGAGCTCCAAATCTGCAGCGCTTTACTGCACTTACGGACACAGCTCTGCTGCAGAAAAGGACATTGCTTGGCCCACAGACACAGTCTACCATTCTTACATGACTCTGTTGGTTACAAAGTCACTGGGCTGGGCTGCTCAAAAATACAGCTTCTTCAACCACCCCCACTGGGGATGGGAAGCCAAAACGTACATATAATGGAAAACCTCTAAAATCGGCTCTGTTAAAGCTGGTATCTCTGAATAGCACTAATATGGCTGTGCCTATATGCTACTGCACTGTGCTGCACATTCAACTGATCAATAAAGGATCCAGGAGAAAGGTTTATACAGTTTATGGCTGCTGCTCCCTTTCGAAGACACTTTTCCCACCAAAAAATGAAAAACCATATGGGGCCTTAGGGAAAAGGCAGGGATCTACAGCCCCTCTGAAGAAGATATTTATTGTCATGGGCAAGGTTTTTTTTCAACAAGAATATAAAGCAACAACCTTTTGCTTTAGTATCTTTTGAGTCAAAAATATGCATGCTAGGAAAATATATAGCTTTGTATATAATTTTTAGACTGGGATTTATTTACTAATGTACACATTTTTAATCTTCAGGTGCTCTGCTTTACTAGAACCAAGTCACTCTTCAAAATGGTACCACAAAACAGCTTTAGGGAAAAGGAAATCAATACTGAGCATATTTCTAATTTCATGCTTTTTTCTAACACCCCAGAAACAAAGACTCGGGCATATATTTATATAGGTTAAATACCACCTAAATCCTTATGCCAAGTGCTCACCCTAAGCTTTCAGGGTTCTTGAGTTAACAGCAATCATTAGGTTGAGGAGCTTGATAAGAATTTTGAAAATCTAAACCACAGCCTCAAAAATGATGACTTAAGCGTACAGAAAGTCAAAACCAGACTGTCCCTACCATTGGGTGCAGACTCATTCCAAGGCAGGATGAGACAGGATGAGACTTTGCACGGGTACACTGGAGAACATCTGTACCATGCCTTTCTCTTTCCAGTTAGCTTCAGTTACAGCTGCTGTAGCTTAGTTATTAAACCCTGACCATATCAGCAGTGCATCTCGCAGCAACAGTGCCTCCACAAAGCAATAAAAATTAAGATTTTCACCCAACTAGATAGGGTTTCGTGCCTCTTCCTAAAAGTATCAGAAACTGTGTAGAAAGCTGCATTCTGCAGCTCAGTGATCTAGATTTCTGATACAAAACAAATAGACACAAATTCCTCCCAAACCACATTCATGGTAGGACCCCTGAGAACATGGCTCAGCTCGGGCAATAGTTCCCCAGAAGGACAGGTGAACATCCTGGCTGTTCTGTACATCGGGGCACAGTGCAAAAGGACAAAAATCTCTCCTAAAAAAAACCAACATGTTTAATTTTTCAGGCTTTTTTTAGCCTATTTCCTTCTTGGTCTGAGAAAGTATCAAGGGAAGACCTAATCTAGAGACATTTCACGTCTTTAAACAGAAAAGTTTTCAAAATTGAACAAAATCAAAATAGTAGGAAAAAGAACACTGTGCAGAAGGTGCTTTTTTACTGGCAGTAAGAGAAGAGCTGGAAAAATGTGCATGGGCCAAAAAAATATATATAAAACTGTTTGATGAGCTGCCAGAGTTAAGAAATTGTCATGAATAAGTTTTATATTCAAATATTCTATTCTACAGCTGCAGGAGCAAGGTTTCACTGAAGCTAGCATTTGAACCTCAAGAATATTTTTATCCTTTTTATTTATTTATTTACGAGCATCATTTCTAAATAGCCCCTGCAAAATTGCTGAATATACTGCCAGCTATTAACCAATGTGACCACGGAGCCAGCAGTTCTGATAAAGAACACTTCAAAGCCTTCAAGAGTTGTGTGCCATTCAAAAACTTATGAAAAGCCTAGTTGTACAGTAATAATCTAATATATATGTGCATACAAATACTTCATATACACACACCCGAGTTGAATAGTGACGTTCAATAATAAATAGAACAGTGACGCAAGTTTTAACAACAATGGTCCCGGCACAGCCATTTTGGCACATTTTACTCATCTCTTCTCAGTATTTGATGTTTGGTAGCATATTTACAATACATAGCTATAAAATACAAACTTCAAAAGGTGGTGCCCCTTCTTAGGGGATGGAGAATCTTGACTTGGTTAGTTCAAACATTCTTTCTAAAGCAAAAATATAGATTATCCTAGAAAAAGATAGCTATTTTGTATTTTCTGGAGGAACAAAAGAATGCAATAAAGAAATGCAAGTAGAAATGCTAACTAGCATTAAATTAAGTTTTTACCCTGAGGATTTACGCATGAGTGCAAGCACATTCTAGAAGCTTTATTTATTCAGACTGCCTAATATGTTATTCAGAAATAGTGCTGTTAAGATCTTCATATTATTTCATGTAAGACAGCCTAAAATCGAATATTGTTTGCAAGAGACGCCAATCTGTTCATTTTCATTATGGTGTGGTGCCTTGGGTAAAGCTGTTAAAGGATCCAAGCAGCAGTCTAGAATAGAAAAATCTATAAAGAAGTATAATCTTTTTCTATTAATCTTCTCTCTCCTGTTGCCCAGCCCTTTGTTCTGTCAGTTTTTAAAAGCAATAATAGCACTTTTAAGAATCCCAACAGAGTAGTTCCACGGCAGGTGCATTGCTTTAAGGTTTA